ATTAAGGTATCAACTACACGAGGACCATTAAGGTATCAACTACACGAGGATCATTAAGGTATCAACTACACGAGGGTCATTAAGGTATCAGCTACACGAGGGCCATTAGGGTATCAACTACTCGAGGGTCATTATGGCTGACTGTCACTTGTACACGGCCAGCCAAAAATATTTTAATACATACAATAAGTAATAAGTAATAAGTAATAAGTCATTCCTGGAGTTGAACCACAGTCGATGGCCTCCACTCCAAACCAACAGATACAGATACTAATACCGGAAAAAAAATCCCCCCCAGTACCAACAATACCACCAGTCCGATGACATTCTTCTTTGCAAATATACAGGGTCTAAAGCCAGCAACAAGCAACAAAATACCTTTCATCCGTGGACTGCTTTCAGAGGCAAAGGCAATGTTCGCGGCTGTCACTGAGACCCACATAAAGGATCACTTGGACAACGAAATATGGATCCCAGGTTACAACCTATACAGATGTGACAGAGTGAACAGGCAAAAGGGGGGGGGGGATTGGCCTGTACATTGCAAAGTCACTTGTTTGCACAGAACTGCTTAATGCCTCAAATGATGTAGTGGAAGTTTTAGCAGTAAAGGTCGAGAACCAAAACCTAGTCATTGTGGTAGTCTACAAGCCTCCGGATGCAACATCCCAGCAATTCCAGGAACAGCTGTTAAAAATTGACCACTGTCTGGAAAATCTTCCAGCTCCTGCATCCAACATCTTGCTCCTGAGGGATTTCAACTTAAGGCACCTAAAATGGAGGAATATAGCAAATAATATTGTTGCAGTAATAACACCAGGAGGCAGCTCTGATGAAAACTCACACTCACACGAGCTTTTAAATCTCTGCACAAAATTCAATTTAAACCAGCAAATAATAGAGCCTACTAGACTGGAGAATACACTAGACCTCATCTTCACTAGATTAGATTTTGCCACCGAAGTGGCTAGTTTATTGTGCACCCCATATCCATCCTGTGGACGGTAGCGCGAGAGCATATGGATACACAAAAGGCCTAGGAACTAGGCCCCAAAGGGTTAACAGGAATACATATGGATTTATATCTACATATCTATAGTTCACTTATCTGTTACAAGCAAATTTAGGAAATTTGCTTAGTATATCTGGTATCTTATTTTCATTAATAAGATATCTTGACATGTCACATAGGTTATTATACTGTCTGTCTCTGTATTCCTCAATAAGTGGACAATTAAGCACATAGTGTTCAAGAGAGTGACCATATGCCTGATCACATAATTTACATTTAGTTTGATCATCATCTGTGTGTCTCCCAAACTGCCAGAAGTACTTGTAACCAAGCCTAAGCCTGGCCACTACAACATCAGTCAGTCTGTTCACATTGCAAGTTGCTCCATAAACATACTTATCTACGTTCATGTTATCATAGTGGGTTATAGATTACTCAGGCTTCTAATGCATTCCTATAACAACATTTCATTATTTACTTCTCTCCTAATATTATTCCTAATGCTAGACACATTTTATACCAAAGTTATATTTACATTCTCCTTCTGGGTACTCTTCTTGGCTAACATATCAACTTTATCATGAAGGAGTAATCCAATGTGTGATGGGACCCCAATGGGCAATTGTGCATTAATTCCTTTGTCCTAATTTTTGAGTATCTTTTACCTGGCTTCCCCAATGAGCATGTTGTTGGAGTCATTATATGAGTCAAGACCCTTCAATGATTGACATAGAATCAGTAATGATGACAGAGTAAAGCTCGTGTCATAGGTTAGCTTTAGCGCCATTAGGATTGCAAACAATTCAGTTTGCAGTGTAGACGCCCAGTTGTTAATTCTCATGCCTAAAAATTTATTATGTTCTTAACTAGGGAGGCGGCAACAAGAGCAGATGCAGCCCTGCCAGAAGATCCTGTTTAGATCCATCAGTGTATATACTTGTGATAACCTTTTACTACCAGCTAGGTGAGAAATTTCTTTTTGAGCAGTTGCTCTAACAAGAGATTTAAGGAAGGGAATTACTAGCAATGAGCTTCTTGGGAGGGACTTGTAGGTATGTGATATTAAATGAACACATCTTCCATGGAGGGGTGGAAATGCTCTTGTTGCCTACAGTGATACGTTCATGCAGGTTAAAAAAACTTAATGCAATTGCACGTTTTCACAATCCATTTAGAAACTGTGTGTATTTACCTCTAGACACTTTGGGAAGATTCACTGTGACAGTGTCTGGTTTGTTTCTCAACATTCTAATACCCAGTTTCCCGTGTTAAATTTTAACAATCTATCACTGATACTAGAAATACCAAGCTCCTTCCCCATGTTAAGAACTTTGTAGATCTGGGACAGCCAAGAATAATCCTGAGAGCTTCATTTCACTAACAATGATGATTGATAAGAAATGTCACCCTATCAAAAAAATATACTCAGATCACAACATAATTTAGGTTCAGACATCTATGCGTGGAGCCCCAGACCGACATAAGGGGACTAGTCACGAGGGAAACATTCACCAAATTCAACTTCAATAACAAAAACATAAAGTGGGACCAAGTAAACCAAGTCCTAACCGATATAAGCTGGGAGGATTACTAAGCAACACAGACCCCAACTTATGCCTAGAACAGATTAACTTGGTGGCATCGATGTATGCACAAGGCTTATTCCTCTAAGAAAAATGAGGATTAGATGTAAAATAGAAAGAGACAGGCGTCCATTTACAGGCGACGGAAAAGAATAACAGAGCGGCTGAAAGAGGTCAATATATCTGAATGCGTAGGGAGACACGGGGCAGAGAAATAGTAAGCATCGAACTTAAGCTTAAAGGGAATTTATAGGAGTCAGGAATCGCGGGAAGAACTAAAAGCCATAATTTAAATCGAAAGAAACCCAAAGTATTTCTTTCCTATGCCAAATCAAAGTCGAGAACACGTCCAATATTGGGCCCTACTTAAAAAAAGATGGGTCCTACATAGATGACAGCAAGGAATGAGTGAGATATCAAGTCCCCAAAATGACTCAGTTTTTAGCAAGCCGCTAAACCAGACTGAGAGTCGAAGATCAAAATGAATTTTTTATGAGAGAGCCACAAAATTTGATTAACACAAGCCTATCCGATGTGATCCTGACGCCAAATGACTTCGAACAGGCGATAAATGACATGCCCATGCACTCTGCCCCAGGGCCAGACTCATGCAACTCCGTGTTCATCAAGAACTGCAAGAAGCCCTATCACGAGCCTTTTCCATCCTATGGAGAGGGAGCATGGACACGGGGGTCGTCCCACAGTTACTAAAAACAACAGACATAGCCCCACTCCACAAAGGGGGCAGTAAAGCAACAGCAAAGAACTACAGACCAATAGCACTAACATCCCATATCATAAAAATCTTTGAAAGGGTCCTAAGAAGCAAGATCACCACCCATCTAGAAACCCATCAGTTACACAACCCAGGGCAACATGGGTTTAGAACAGGTCGCTCCTGTCTGTCTCAACTATTGGATCACTACGACAAGGTCCTAAATGCACTAGAAGACAAAAAGAATGCTGATGTAATATATACAGACTTTGCAAAAGCCTTCGACAAGTGTGACCATGGCGTAATAGCGCACAAAATGCGTGCTAAAGGAATAACAGGAAAAGTCGGTCGATGGATCTATAATTTCCTCACTAACAGAACACAGAGAGTAGTCGTCAACAGAGTAATGTCCGAGGAAGCTACGGTGAAAAGCTCTGTTCCACAAGGCACAGTACTCGCTCCCATCTTGTTCCTCATCCTCATATCCGACATAGACAAGGATGTCAGCCACAGCACCGTGTCTTCCTTTGCAGATGACACCCGAATCTGCATAACAGTGTCTTCCATTACAGACACTGCAAGGCTCCAGGCGGACATCAACCAAATCTTTCAGTGGGCTGCAGAAAACAATATGAAGTTCAATGATGAGAAATTTCAATTACTCAGATATGGTAAACACGAGGAAATTAAATCTTCATCAGAGTACAAAACAAATTCTGGCCACAAAATAGAGCGAAACACCAACGTCAAAGACCTGGGAGTGATCATGTCGGAGGATCTCACCTTCAAGGACCATAACATTGTATCAATCGCATCTGCTAGAAAAATGACAGGATGGATAATGAGAACCTTCAAAACTAGGGAGGCCAAGCCCATGATGACACTCTTCAGGTCACTTGTTCTATCTAGGCTGGAATATTGCTGCACGCTAACAGCACCTTTCAAGGCAGGTGAAATTGCTGACCTAGAAAATGTACAGAGAACCTTCACGGCGCGCATAACGGAGATAAAACACCTCAATTACTGGGAGCGCTTGAGGTTCCTAAACCTGTATTCCCTGGAACGTAGGCGGGAGAGATACATGATTATATACACCTGGAAAATCCCAGAGGGACTAGTACCGAACTTGCACACGAAAATCACTCACTACGAAAGCAAAAGACTTGGCAGACGATGCAACATCCCCCAATGAAAAGCAGGGGTGTCACTAGCACGTTAAGAGACCATACAATAAGTGTCAGGGGCCCGAGACTGTTCAACTGCCTCCCAGCATACATAAGGGGGATTACCAACAGACCCCTGGCAGTCTTCAAGCTGGCACTGGACAAGCACCTAAAGTCGGTACCTGACCAGCCGGGCTGTGGCTCGTACGTTGGTTTGCGTGCAGCCAGCAGCAACAGCCTGGTTGATCAGGCTCTGATCCACCAGGAGGCCTGGTCACAGACCGGGCCGCGGGGGCGTTGACCCCCGGAACTCTCTCCAGGTAAACTCGAGGTAATACATCGAACTGAGCGTATATATACACACTGAGTATACATAAACACTGAGTATACATACACACTGAGTATACATACACACTGAGTATACACACTTCTCGGTATGTATACACTATAATAAGGGTTAATCTCGTAATTATAAGTAGGCTATTAGTAGGTAAATTAGTGCCTCTAATGACTGCTTCTCCCACCAGATCCAATGTTCTCCAGGGTGGCCCCAGACACCATGCCACCATCACCAGTCAACTCCAGGACCAAGCGTAGCTTCGGTGGGTATTATCATTATTATTATTGTTTGTAGATGAATGGTTCAGAGAACCGACATGTTGATAAATTAGACACATGTGCAACTCTTGGGTATCTTTATTGAGGAAACGTTTCGCCACACAGTGGCTTCATCAGTCCATACGTAGGAGAAACTTGAAGAATAGGAGGAGAATGAGGTAATCAGTCCCACAACCTTGAGTCGACTCAAGGTTGAGGGACTGATTACCTCATTCTCCTCCTGTTCCTCAAGATTCTCCTTTGTATGGACTGATGAAGCCACTGTGTGGCGAAACGTTTCCTCAATAAAGATACCCAAGAGTTGCACATGTGTCTAATTTATCATTATTATTGTTGCTATTATTATTATCATTATTATTATTATTACTGTTATTATTATTTTTTATTATTGTCTTCCTTATTATAATCATAATTATTATTTTTATTATTATCATCCTATTATAATTATCATTATTATTATAATAATAATTACTATTATCATTATTATTATAATAATAATTACTATTATCATTATTATTATAATAATAATTACTATTATCATTATCATTATTATTATTTTATAAGGAAGCGCTAAAAGTTTACGGGGTGATACAGCGCTTGAGGAACGGGTGATAATCAGGATCAATCCAAGTGAGAGAACAGCTCCACTCACTTGAATCAAAAGCCTCCCATATAAACAGTCACCTCCCCCCCTCTTGCTGTTACAGACCTGATGACGTCACGTGTGGCCCCCAGTAAGTGGTCGCAGCAGAGTGGTCCGTACGTGATCACGGCCGCCAGACTGACTGAGGTCAGGTCACAGCTCATGTACCCGTACTTCGATGCTGACCATAGTGGTGGTATGGGTGACCTGGAGGTCAACATCAACACTCAGAACACTCAGGTCAACAAGCAACTGACCTTCCTGCTGCCATTCTTCGGGTTTGGTCTCAACTACACCTGGGTAAGACTGACAACACACTCACAATACCCTGACTCCAACAATATATGAATAACCTGCACGTAGGAGAGAGCAGCTTACCACGAGGTTTCGGTCCCACTTGAACCATTTACAAAGTCCAAGTCGGGCCGAAACGTCGTCGTAAGCTCCTCTCTCCTACGTGCGGGTTATTTGTGTATGGGTGAGCTCTGGTCAAGTCAGTAATAATAATCATTATTTCTACCAGTACATGTACAAGGTATACAGACCATACCTGGAGTTTACCTGGAGAGAGTTCCGGGGGTCAGGTCTGTGACCAGGCCTCCTGGCGGATCAGAGCCTGATCAACCAGGTTGTTACTGCTGGCTGCACGCAAACCAACGTACGAGCCACAGCCCGGCTGGTCAGGAACCGACTTTAGGTGCTTGTCCAGTGCCAGCTTGAAAACTGCCAGGGGTCTGTTGGTAATCCCCCTTATGTATGCTGGGAGGCAGTTGAACAGTCTCGGGCCCCTGACACTTATTGTATGGTCTCTTAACGTGCTAGTGACACCCCTGCTTTTCATTGGGGGGATGTTGCATCGTCTGCCAAGTCTTTTGCTTTCGTAGTGAGTGATTTTCGTGTGCAAGTTCGGTACTAGTCCCTCTAGGATTTTCCAGGTGTATATAATCATGTATCTCTCCCGCCTGCGTTCCAGGGAGTACAGGTTCAGGAACCTCAAGCGCTCCCAGTAATTGAGGTGTTTTATCTCCGTTATGCGCGCCGTGAAGGTTCTCTGCACATTTTCTAGGTCAGCAATTTCACCTGCCTTGAAAGGTGCTGTTAGTGTGCAGCAATATTCCAGCCTAGATAGAACAAGTGACCTGAAGAGTGTCATCATGGGCTTGGCCTCCCTAGTTTTGAAGGTTCTCATTATCCATCCTGTCATTTTTCTAGCAGATGCGATTGATACAATGTTATGGTCCTTGAAGGTGAGATCCTCCGACATGATCACTCCCAGGTCTTTGACGTTGGTGTTTCGCTCTATTTTGTGGCCAGAATTTGTTTTGTACTCTGATGAACATTTAATTTCCTCGTGTTTACCATATCTGAGTAATTGAAATTTCTCATCGTTGAACTTCATATTGTTTTCTGCAGCCCACTGAAAGATTTGGTTGATGTCCGCCTGGAGCCTTGCAGTGTCTGCAATGGAAGTCACTGTCATGCAGATTCGGGTGTCATCTGCAAAGGAAGACACGGTGCTGTGGCTGACATCCTTGTCTATGTCGGATATGAGGATGAGGAATAAGATGGGAGCGAGTACTGTGCCTTGTGGAACAGAGCTTTTCACCGTAGCTTCCTCGGACTTTACTCTGTTGACGACTACTCTCTGTGTTCTGTTAGTGAGGAAATTATAGATCCATCGACCAACTTTTCCTGTTATTCCTTTAGCACGCATTTTGTGCGCTATTACGCCATGGTCACACTTGTCGAAGGCTTTTGCAAAGTCTGTATATATTACATCAGCATTCTTTTTGTCTTCTAGTGCATCTAGGACCTTGTCGTAGTGATCCAATAGTTGACACAGACAGGAGCGACCTGTTCTAAACCCATGTTGCCCTGGGTTGTGTAATTGATGGGTATCTAGATGGGTGGTGATCTTGCTTCTTTGGACCCTTTCAAAGATTTTTATGATATGGGATGTTAGTGCTATCGGTCTGTAGTTCTTTGCTATTGCTTTACTGCCCCCTTTGTGGAGTGGGGCTATGTCTGTTGTTTTTAGTAACTGTGGGACGACCTCCGTGTCCATGCTCCCTCTCCATAGGATGGTAAAAGCTCGTGATAGGGGCTTCTTGCAGTTCTTGATGAACACGGAGTTGCATGAGTCTGGCCCTGGGGCAGAGTGCATGGGCACGTCATCTATCGCCTGTTCGAAGTCATTTGGTGTCAGGATAACATCAGATAGGCTTGTGTTAACCAAATTCTGTGGCTCTCTCATAAAAAATTCATTTAGGTCTTCGACTCTCAGTCTGGTTAGCGGCTTGCTAAAAACTGAGTCAAATTGGGACTTGAGTGGCTCACTCATTTCCTTGCTGTCATCTGTGTAGGACCCATCTTGTTTAAGTAGGGGCCCAATACTGGACGTTGTTCTCGACTTTGGTTTGGCATAGGAGAAGAAATACTTTGGGTTTCTTTCGATTTCATTTATGGCTTTTAGTTCTTCCTGCGATTCCTGACTCCTATACCTGACATCAGTGACATACTACTATATAGAAAGTCAAACCATACGAGTGGGGTTAGAACCCGTGGTCAGAGACTCATAAAACTCCAGACTGACGGGTTAGACACTGGGCCAGCGTCGGTCTGGACTTTTATGACTTTCTGACCACGGGTTCTATCCCCGCCCTTGGTATGGTTTGTTTCAATCGTGTCATTACCCGCAAATTAGATCAATTTTCTCCCCAGGATGCGTGTCACACCAGTCGATTAGCACCCAGGTACCTATTTTACTGCTAGGTGAACAAGGACAGCAGGTGTCGTAAGGAAACACGTTCTAATGTTTCCACCCGTACCGGGGATCGACCCCCGGACCTCAGTGTGTGAATCGAGTGCGCTACCGATCGGGTGTTAACGCACTGGCTCGTGTGTTATAAGACTTATTTGCCATAGGTTGAAGTCCTACCCGTTCCCTGATTGTTAGGCCAGTAGGTGGGTGTGAGCTAGACCTGCCTAGCATGGTCAAGTAGGCCTGCTCATTCTTATGTTCTAGTATGCACAATGACGACATTTCTCCAGTAGGGGCGAAATGTTTCCTTAAATGTCAGTCCTTTGGTGAATCAACCCCAAATGGAAAGTACTCTTGATCCAAGGAAACGAAGGGTACCTTTAATTTCCTTGATCAATGAGCCATCATCCAGCATCAAGGCAACCTTTCTTCCCAAGAGAATAACAGCAAAGACTTGGTCCCTTGAGAGGATGTCCCTTGATACCTACCGGTGAGTTCCCTTGATGCCTAGTGGAGGATCTTGATGCCATCGAGGGATCTTGATGCCCACTAGGGGTCTTAATGTCTGTTAGGGCTCTTGATGCCCGCTAGGGCTCTTGATACTGATTACTGGCATCTTGATGTCGATAACACAGGGTGAACGTGATATACATAAACCACAGACAGGGTGAACATGGGGTGTACAATAAACCACAGACAGGGTGAACATGGGGTACACAATAAACCACAGACACAGGGTGAACATGGGGTACACAATAAACCACAGACAGGGTGAACATGGGGTACACAATAAACCACAGACAGTGTGAACATGGGGTACACAATAAACCACAGACACAGGGTGAACATGGGGTACACAATAAACCACAGACAGGGTGAACATGGGGTACACAATAAACCACAGACAGTGTGAACATGGGGTACACAATAAACCATAGACAGGGTGAACATGGGGTGTACAATAAACCACAGACAGTGTGGACATGGGGTACACAATAAACCACAGACAGGGTGAACATGGGGTACACAATAAACCACAGACAGGGTGAACATGGGGTGCACAATAAACCACAGACAGGGTGAACATGGGGTACACAATAAACCACAGACAGGGTGAACATGGGGTGTACAATAAACCACAGACAGTGTGGACATGGGGTACACAATAAACCACAGACAGAGTGAACATGGGGTACACAATAAACCACAGACAGGGTGAACATGGGTAACATGGGGTACACAATAAACCACAGACGAGGGTTAGAACATGGGGTACACAATAAACCACAGACTGGGTGAACATGGGGTACACAATAAACCACAGACAGTGTGAACATGGGGTACACAATAAACCACAGACAGGGTGAACATGGGGTGTACAATAAACCACAGACAGTGTGAACATTGGGTACACAATAAACCACAGACAGTTGTGAAACCAATGAGGGTACACAATAAACCACAGACAGTGTGAACATGAGGTACACAATAAACCACAGACAGGGTGAACATGGGGTACACAATAAACCACAGACAGGGTGAACATGGGGTACACAATAAACCAAAGACAGGGTGAACATGGGGTACACAATAAACCACAGACTGGGTGAACATGGGGTACACAATAAACCACAGACAGGGTGAACATGGGGTGTACAATAAACCACAGACAGTGTGGACATGGGGTACACAATAAACCACAGACAGGGTGAACATGGGGTACACAATAAACCACAGACAGTGTGAACATGGGGTACACAATAAACCACAGACAGTGTGGACATGGGGTACACAATAAACCACAGACAGGGTGAACATGGGGTACACAATAAACCACAGACAGTGTGAACATGGGGTACACAATAAACCACAGACAGGGTGAACATGGGGTACACAATAAACCACAGACAGGGTGAACATGGGGTACACAATAAACCACAGACAGGTGAACATGGGGTACACAATAAACCACAGACAGGGTGAACATGGGGTACACAATAAACCACAGACAGGGTGAACATGGGGTACACAATAAACCACAGACAGGGTGAACATGGGGTACACAATAAACCACAGACAGGGTGAACATGGGGTGTACAATAAACCACAGACAGTGTGGACATGGGGTACACAATAAACCACAGACAGGGTGAACATGGGGTACACAATAAACCACAGACAGTGTGAACATGGGGTACACAATAAACCACAGACAGTGTGGACATGGGGTACACAATAAACCACAGACAGGGTGAACATGGGGTACACAATAAACCACAGACAGGGTGAACATGGGGTACACAATAAACCACAGACAGGGTGAACATGGGGTACACAATAAACCACAGACAGGGTGAACATTCGGTTCACAATAAACCACAGTGTGAACGTGGGGTACCAGTCACTCCGCACATCTAACTGGTTACCTGTGACTGGTTGCAGGTATCTCTGAACGGCTACCTGGGCTTCTCTGACGCACCTTTCAACTGGAGACACTATCCTCTGAGCTTCCCGGTACCACAGTGGCCAGACATACCTGACCCGTCCTTCATTGGTCCGTTCTACTCCAAGTGTAACATTGGTGAACTGAAGCCGGGTGATGACAAGAGCAGGAGACCTGGTGTATACTGGAGGTAAGTCATGCAGGAGACCTGGTGTATACTGGAGGTAAGTCATGCAGGAGACCTGGTGTTTACTGGAGGTAAGTCATGCCAGAGACCTGGTGTATACTGGAGGTAAGTCATGCAGGAGACCTGGTGTATACTGGAGGTAAGTCATGCAGGAGGACCTGGTGTATACTGGAGGTAAGTCATGCAGGAGACCTGGTGTTTACTGGAGGTAAGTCATGCAGGAGACCTGGTGTATACTGGAGGTAAGTCATGCAGGAGACCTGGTGTATACTGGAGATAAGTCATGCAGGAGACCTGGTGTTTACTGGAGGTAAGTCATGCCAGAGACCTGGTGTATACTGGAGGTAAGTCATGCAGGAGACCTGGTGTATACTGGAGGTAAGTCATGCAGGAGACCTGGTGTATACTGGAGGTAAGTCATGCAGGAGACCTGGTGTTTTACTGGAGGTAAGTCATGCCAGAGACCTGGTGTATACTGGAGGTAAGTCATGCAGGAGACCTGGTGTATACTGGAGGTAAGTCATGCAGGAGACCTGGTGTATACTGGAGGTAAGTCATGCAGGAGACCTGGTGTATACTGGAGGTAAGTCATGCAGGAGACCTGGTGTATACTGGAGGTAAGTCATGCAGGAGACCTGGTGTATACTGGAGGTAAGTCATGCAGGAGACCTGGTGTATACTGGAGGTAAGTTATGCCAGAGACCTGGTGTATACTGGAGGTAAGTCATGCAGGAGACCTGGTGTATACTGGAGGTAAGTCATGCAGGAGACCTGTTGTATCATGGAGGTAAGTCATGCAGAGACCTGTTGTATACTGGAGGTAAGTCATGCCAGAGACCTGGTGTATACTGGAGGTAAGTCATGCAGGAGACCTGGTGTATACTGGAGGTAAGTCATGCAGGAGACCTGTTGTATACTGGAGGTAAGTCATGCCAGAGACCTGTTGTATACTGGAGGTAAGTCATGCAGGAGACCTGGTGTATACTGGAGGTAAGTCATGATAACATTATTTTATATTGTGTATGCAAAACAACCACGGGGTCGAGTTGAATGATAGCTCTAGGCCTTTCATGTTGCGATCAACACATCATCAGGAGCTTGCAATGTTTCAGAAAAGAGGAAAGTCCAAGCAAATACGTTCAGAGGAAGTGCCTTTGCTCCAGCAAAGACACTTCCTCTGAACGTATTTGCTTGGACTTCCTCCTCTTTTCTACAACATTGCAAGCTCCTGATGATGTGTTGATCGCAACACGAAAGGCCTAGAGCTATCATTCAACTCGACCCCGTGGTTGTTTTGCGTCTTGCTTCGCTTGTCGGCGTAATACTGTGCATGTCACTGGCAGTATACACAGACATGTGAGTTAACATGATGTTAGGTGTCATCGGTCATATAGCAGGAGTACTGGCGAGGTAAAGATGATGTCATCAGTCCTTCAACCTTGGAGAAATAGTCTGAGGTGGTCAGTCCCTCAGCCACTACTGCCGTCTACAATACATTTTCATCTATATTTGACTGAAGAAGCCTACTGTGCCGGCGAAACGTTTCAACAAATAAGACACCCAACTGTTGTACATGTGTCTTACTCATCTGATTGTCCGTATTTGATACAAATTTGAACATCACGTTAACATGATACAACATCGTGTTAACATGATACAACATCATGTTAACATGATACAGCATCATGTTAACATGATACAGCATCATGTTAACATGATACAGCATCATGTTAACATGATACAGCATCATGTTAACATGATACAGCATCATGTTAACATGATACAGCATCGTGTTAACATGATACAGCATCGTGTTAACATGATACAGCATCATGTTAACATGATACAGCATCATGTTAACATGATACAGCATCGTGTTAACATGATACAGCATCATGTTAACATGATACAGCATCATGTTAACATGATACAGCATCATCTTAACATGATACAGCATCATGTTAACATGATACAACATGTGGTTTATATCGTACTATTCTGAGAACGTTTCATCCAACGTTTCTCTCAGGTGTGCGAAACATCTTCTCAATACATAGCCATAAACAGCAAACTGTCTTATTAGCGTTGTTATATTGTATGTATAGCGCTAAACCCGTGTGGGTTGAGTGCAAGGAGTGGTGTAGGAGGCTGGTTGCACATGCAGTTTTTTTTTATTATTTATTTATTTATTATAAATTTGTGCACACATACAGAGGTACAAAAAAATACAGATAAGAGCAGTATGCCAAAGCCACTTATACTATGCATAGCATTACGGGCTGGCTTAAAATTAACTTAAGATTAATTAAGCAATGATGAAGTCAGTGATAAAACATTAATGTAAACAGATTACTATAAAGCACAAGTGAGTATTACAAAGACAGGTCATATGAAGGATTCTGTTAGGTAGTGTATTTAAAAAATAATAAAGTTAGATTGGGTTTTAGGTTTAACATTTATGTGATATAATTGTGAGAAACATTTAAGATATACAATTTTATAAGGTTCAGTTATTCAGTATTTATTTGGTTTTGGGTGAGTAAGTGATCTTTGAGTAGAGACTTGAATTTATAAACAGATAGTGTTTCTTTTATATTACAGGTAATGAATTCCAGATTTTAGGGCCTTTTATGTGCATTGAGTTTTTGCATAGTGTGAGATGAACACGAGGAACATCAAAGAGTGATCTGTGCCTTGTGTTATGGTCATGTGTTCTGTTGAGGTTGGCAAGGAGATGTTTGAGGGGAGGGTTAATATCAGAGTTAAGTGTTCTATGTATGTAATAGGTGCAGTAATAAGTATGGATGTTTTGTATGGTGAGTAGGTTTAGTGTATTGAATATTGGTGGAGTGTGCTGCCTGTAGTGAGAATTTGTTATCATTCTAACTGCAGCCTTTTGTTGGGTAATTAGTGGTCTGAGATGGTTAAAACTGTTGTTGAGGCCCCATGCACAAATTCCATAGGTGAGATAGGGGTAAATAAGAGAGTGATATAGGGCCAGGAGGGCTGACTGTGGAACATAGTACCGTATCTTCGATAGTATGCCTACAGTCTTGGAAATTTTCTTAGAAATTTGTTGTATATGTGTATGAAATTTGAGTCTATTATCAAGGTGGATTCCTAAGAATTTTCCCTCTGTTAGCTTTGTGATAGGTGAATCCGTTTATCATTATGTTAAGAGGGACATCTGTAGCTCTGTTACCAAACTGAATGAATGTAGGTTTTGTCAATGTTTAGTGTAAGTTTGTTAGTCCTCATCAGGTAGATATTTTCTGTAATTCGGTATTTACAGTATTGGCTAGTGTGACTGGGCTCGGGTGAGAGAAGACGTATGTAGTGTCATCTGCAAATAGTGTGGGTTTGAGTAATTGCGAAGCATTTGAAGGTCATTTATGTATAGGAGAAAGAGAAGAGGGCCAAGGACACTTCCCTGTGGGACACCAACTGTAATTGGTTGCGCAGAAGAGTTTGCCCCATTTGCGTACACATATTGGCTTCTGTTGCTGAGGTATGACTTGAGGTAATTGAGGGAGTGCCCTCTTATACCATAGTGTGACAATTTTACGTGGAGCAAGTCATGGTCAACTGTATCAAAAGCTTTACGTAAGTCAATGAAGATCCCCAGTGGGACTTCTTTTTTCTCTATTGCAGTGTATATATGTTCTAGCATGTGTATAATAGCATCATTAGTATTTTTATTAGGCCTGAATCCAAATTGGCAGGGGTTGAGTATGTTCTGGGAGATAAGGTAGGAGTAGATTCGTTTATGAATTAGTTTTTCAAAGATTTTTGAGAGAGGGTGTTAAGTTGGATATTGGCCTATAATTATTCAACTCTGTTTGGTCTCCTCCTTTGTGGATCGGGGTGACCCTTGCTATTTTGAGTACTGTAGGGAAGGTGGAGGATTCAATGGATTTGTTAAAGAGTGTTGCAATGATTGGAGATAGCACTTGTGACACTTTTTTATATATAAAGGGTGGTAAGGTACTTAAATCTCCTGCCTTGTTTTTTAGTGCATTGATAATAAGGGAGACTTCGTATGGGTTAGTCGGAGCTAGGAACAGTGTGTTCGGGTAGTTGCCGGTGAGGTAGTTATTTGGTGGGGTATCTGAGCTTGGGATTTTATGGGCAAGGTTTTGTCCTATAGTGGAGAAGAAATCATTGAGTCTGTTTGCTGTTTCTGTTGGTGGGAGTTGGGGTTCATCTGATTTTGCTAATTTTATTTCGCTATTTCGTGATATCTTTTTTGTTCCCAGAATTTCAGATAGTGTTTTTCCAGGTCTTTTTTATATCACCTCGTAAGTTGGATAATCTGTTCTCATAATACAATTTTTTTGCCTTCTTATCAGGCTGGTTAGGATTGACGAGTAACGTTTTGTTTGGTCTCTGGTTATGTGACCCATTCTGTACTGTTTTTCATATTGGTGTTTTGTATTTATGGATTTGAGAATGCTGGGTGTTAGCCAGGGACTGTTCAGTCTCTTTGCTGTCATCTGTTTAGTTTTTTTAGGGCAGTGCTTGTTATAGAGGTATTGGGTCTTTTTTAGAAAATTATTAATACATTCGTCAATATCTGTATAGATTTCTAGCTCAGTGTGCCAATCAATGTTTGCTAATGCTGTTGCGAAGTTATTAATGGCTGCCTCATTGTGAAGTCTGAAGGTGACTTTAGTAGTGTCTTGGGGTAGTTTACCAAGAGTTGTTATGAGGAAAGTAGGGTAGTGGTCTGTGGTATTATCTGTAATTATGCCTGATTTTAAAGGGGATATGGTGTTGGTCCAGATGTGGTCAAGTAGGGAAACACTAGTCTCTGTAACTCTTGTAGGTTTTGTTACTGTTGGTAGTAACATACAGTTACTCATTGTGTTTGTGAATTCAGTAACGTGTGGGTCCTGGTCTTGCAGGAGATTTATATTGAAGTCACCTGAGAGTAGTAAGTGATCTTTGTTCATGCGTGCATCAGTTATCATACTTCCTAGATTTTGACTAAATTGGCTAATGTT